ATTTTCATGTCTTAAGGAAATGCCTATGATACAATAGACCATAAAATATACTATTTAAAAGCATGAATTTATAATTATAACTAAAATCATATTGTATGATCTCAAATTTTTTAACACATGGAAGAAATTATGGTTTGTTGTTTCCAGGGGCCAGAAATATATATATGATTTGTTTCTTTGGTCTCTTTATACTTTTATAATATCCAAATCTATGTTATTTAGGTTCAGAGTAGTAATGAAAATCCTTTTTAAATAAGTAGTAAGAGTTTGCATCTGTGTTCTTGTGAGATATTGTTTTGTCTGTGCAATTTCTGTTAGAGACTACAAGGCAGTTGTGATAAACGACGTGTCTGTCAAGAGGGTGTTACTGTAATAAACTGTGGGACTCAGATATCAACAACTAGACTGTCACTATGCATTATCAAGTACATGGATGCCCTTAGGCACTACAATGGTCTGTAAAATACTACTGGGGGTAAAAAACTGGTTTCAAAATCATATAGAATCAAACCTAGTGTTTAAATAGAAAAATCAGAAATGCCTTTATGAAGGAAAGATGCAGGGCATCCAGTGATTAATTCTGGCTATTTCTGCATAATTTAAATTTTCTAGTTTTCTAGAATAAACATTCTCACTGGTATAGTCACTGTGGAAAACAGTAAGGAGTTTCCTCCAAAAACTGGAAATAAATTTATATATGATCCAGCAATTTACTTCAAGTACTTTCTGGAAAAAAAATGAAAATACTAATATGAAGAGATATATCAGGTGTCTAGTCATTGCAGCAATATTTACAAAAGCCAAGATACGGAACAACCAAATTGTCGATCACTGGATGAATGGTATATATGAAGATATAATGGAACACCATTCAATCACATAAAAGAATGAAGTCTTGCAATGTGCGACAACATGGATAGACCTTAAGGAAAGATTGAAACAAATATTGCATGATTTCACTTATATATGCAATCTTTTAAAAAAATAAACAAAATAAATCATAGTGACAGAAAATAGATTGGTAGTTAGCAGAGAGGTGAAGATTTGGGGAGCAAAATGTGCACAGGGGATAAAGAGGTGCAAATTTTCTGTTATGAAATAAATACATGAAAGAGATATGATGTACAGCATGGGGACTGTCAACAATCAATAATATATCATTGAAGATTTGAAAGTTGCTAAGAAAAGCTGGTAAGTAGGCTTAGTTGATGATCATTTCACAATGCAGCCAAATGTACACTTGAAACTAAAATTATGTATGCAAATTATACTTCAGTACTAAAAAGGGACATGATATTCTAATTTTGATTTCCTACATTTTAAGAACCAATAAAGCAAAGCAATTTCAAAGTGTTTATTTCATTAGATTCTCTAGTAAGGAAGACTTCATGGGGAGGGAAGTTTGGGGAGCAGAGGGAAAGGGGGAGTAGAAGGAGAGGGATAGACCTACCTCAGCCTTGAAGATCTGTTGGTAGACCTGGCCGCTGGAAACTTTGGTTACCTTCCCCACTGAGGACATCTTGGTTGCTGGCTGAATGCTCCTGCTGGAAATCCAGTTTCCAGGAATCATATCTAGAGTTGGGTCTCACCCACCTAGCAGCTGACAACTCGCCTCCACTTCCCAATACGAGCCAATACAAGTAATCCCCAGATGATAAGGTCCCCCCAAAGCACCCAGCTGGGATAGCCAGCATAGCCCTGAGACCCCGCTCCTCTTATTTTAAGCAAAAATAAGGGAGGAGGCAGAGAAGCAAAAAAGAAACAAATATCAGGCAAGAACTGAACTCCTTGAGAAGTCCAAGGACCCCTCACGGGGTCCAGATCCAATATAGAGTTTGGGGACAAAAAAATAATAAAAGGCTTTTGTGTGCGTGGGTGCCACTCTTCCCAGCTCTCGTGGGAAACGTCATTGCGCCCAAGACATCAACTGAAGCTTCAAACCGGCTTTGTATTTCCCCCTGAGCCTTGCCAAGAAACAGGGCTCAGATGTCCCTAGTCCCCTCCAAGAATGGTCAAGGGAGGGAGAAGTGGAGGAAACAGCCTGACCCTGACTGCTCTACTGTGTGCTAGAAAGATCCAGCAGTCTCTTCTAAGCACCCACCCACACAGCACCAAGGAACAGGGCAGCCCTGAGCTTGGACAAGTGGAAAGAGCCCTGCTCTGGGGGCTCAGTCGCGCCTCGACTCGCCGAAAAGACCACTCCCGTGAGTCTGAGAGAGCCGGTGAAGTCTCAACTGCAACGGGACGCATTTAGTCTCCAAGGCAACGTGGAGGGGAGGGAGTCCCGCTGGCTCCGCCCTCGCTTCCTTTCCGCGTAGGGAGGGGGTCACCCTTAGCAACCAGAAAGACCGCAGTGCTGGAGTGACTCCTAGAGAGCTCCTTCCCTCCAGGACAGTCTGTCTTTGTGCAACGGGATACCTCAGGGCTGTCAGGAGCGTGGAGAGACACACTAAATGACCAGAAAACTAGTGGGTGTTGTAGTTGTGAGCCACTGAAAATCCATTCTCTGTCGTCTTGGTTAAAACGAAATTCTAGAGGGAGGTAGCATGGAAATGCTTGATTATAGAAACAGCACCTCTCAGGAGTCCATCTCAGATTAAAAGAGTTGAGGGCTCAGAACTCTGACTAAGATTGGAGTGGAATTACAATAAAAAGACTAATTTATATGAATTTTGAGTTCCAGCCATCCAACCTGCCACTACCACATAACGCTCCTAAAAGACAGCTCTGACTAACCCCTCTGCTACTTAGGGGCCCCTCACAAACTCTGCCAAGCACAGTCCACAGCCCCCATGCACCTCAGAAGCCCCTGCTTCAGCAAAGCCCTCTCCCTTCCTGCTTAAGCCCTTGCACCCCACTCCTCTGCTGGATCCTTCAGTCTCCACACACCCAGCACCCACCCAGACTTCCTGCCAACATCAGGGACAGGAGCCCACATCCCCACCTCACCTCCCTCACCCCTCACCTCCTTGCCCTCAGGGTGCCTGCTCTCAGCTACATGAGTTCAGAGCATGCCTCAGAAGGTGTTTCCTGGAGGCCAGGCATTGGTCTTATTGACTTTTATTCAACATCAAGTGTCCTTCACATAGGGGCTCACCCACAGCTGAGACAGATGACAGCTTCTGGGGTAAAGGCGGGAAACCTGGGGGTCTTGGTCTGATGCTCGCACAGTTGGGCTCTCCCACACTGCCAGCTGGAATTCTGTGTGGCCAGAGCTGAAAGTGCTGTGGTTGACAGTGAACCTGGCTGGGAGGTTGCATATATGGGGGTGCCCAACTCCTGGGAGAATCCCTTCCCTCACCAGGATCCCTGTTCAATTGCTAGCAAAAGCTCCCTAAAACAACTTTTGGAACAAGTAGTTATTCTGCTTACAGTAGTTTCAGAAATTAAGAAACTCTCACTGCCCTCTCTTCACTGAGATTAACAAATATTCCAACTTCCCAATTAGTTTTGCTTATTTTGAACTTCATTTAAATGGAACCATACAGGATCTTTATGTTGGACTTCTTCATTTTATGTTTGTAACATATTGAATGTGACTAGGTCATTTTTTCTTGGTGGATAGTATTCCACTGTAAAAATAACCCATTTTTTTTTTGTCCTTTCTGTTAGTGACGCACATTTGGGTTTTCTCCAGGTTAGAAAATTATCATATAATATTGCTCTGAACATTCTTTTGCATGGCGTGCATACCAAGGGTTTCTGTTGGGTATTTGCCCGAGTGTGAAATTGTAGAATCATGGCGTATGCATAGGCCCATCTTTAGAAGATTCTTCACTGCCACCCAAAGGGGCAGAACAAAAACCACTGAAATTCAGGTGTCTAAAAAACACATACCTAGCCATTTCCTGTCCTGAGACACTCATTGCGTTGCTGCAATTATGAAGGAAACACTTCTGTTTTTCTTAAGGTTGAGGTTTCTTTTGACCAAATTAGGAACGTGTATCTCTCTAGTTCAATCTCTGGAACTGTGAGTGAGGGGTAACATGTGAAGAGATTAAACTGCATGTAGAAAGGACAAGTCCAGAGGAAGGCCATTTCCATCCTCAGTTTTTTTTAGGAACTCAGTGACAACCCTTTACTTAGATTTGAATCCTCTTGGAATCCTTGTCCAAGACCCCCAAATTCCTTTCCTTGCTTGTCTTGTATCCAGGGGAAAGAGGCAGTTTTTTGAGGCTTCCTGGGCCTTATCTAATGCTTTAAATTCCAGAAACATCTCTGCACTTCCTTATACAATTCTTTTAAGGCAGAAATTTCCTCAAAGCCTTTCCTTAATATATATCATCCTCCCTGATTGGGACCTCATGGATCCCAAGTGAGGACAAATGTCTGTATTTCTGTCTAGTGGCAAAAGAATCTCCCTTGCTGGCCCAGCTGACTTTGAGGGGTCATGTGGTTTGTGGTCCATGGTCTCAGACAACTGACAGTTTACACATTCAATGGTATTGTTACTCATATGTCCTAAAGGAGTACCTGGGCCTGAGCCCCTAGAGATCCTCACCCCTGGTTTGGAAGTGTTTCTTTCCAGTATTGTGCTTTGGCTACATCATGGGTGGATGCCAATCTGGTTGGATCTCTGAGTGGTGAGGTATAACAGAGGTGGGTCTCTGGAGTCCAGGAGGGGAATGCCACCAAGCTGGTGATTCATCATACTCATGAACTATCAGTGTCTTCTTTGACAAAGAGGGCCATTAGTGCTTTTAAATTCATTCAGGTCAGAGAACCAATTCTAGAAACACCAGAATCCTTTAAGAAAATACGTCTCTGAGATTCTGTTCTTTTAGAACCAGCCTTGGCATAAATAAATCTGTATCAGTTAGAGTTCTCCAGAGAAAAATAACATGTATATTTACAAGAACATGTGTGTGTATATAGACACTATGTGTATTACAGATGCATGTGTATATGTACATGAATAGAGAGAGGCATATAAAGACCTATAACTCCTGGCATTACTCTTGTGCTGTGTACGCTGGCAAGTTTGAACACTCTGGGGTGATCTGCAAACTAGAAGCTCAACAATTTCATACTATGATCTGAACTATGATTTCTTCTTCAATGGAAAAACCTCAGTTTTCCCTTAAAGATTTCAACTGAGTAAATGACACCCACCCAATTTCAAGAATAAAATCCTCTAAAGTCACCTGCTTATATATATGTTTGACTAAATAACTGGGATCCGGGTCTCCCTGGTGGTGCAAGGAGTTAAGCCTTAGCACGATGTAGCTATTCCCCGCCAAGTTCCTGCAGCAGGAATTTGATCCCAGGCCAGGGAGGTGACCCACATAGTGCAGCAGACCTTTCCTGTCTTCTCCACTGCTCCCCTCAGCAGTGTTTTCAGTGGATCTGGCTGTTCTGCTCCCCACTGTGTCTCTGGTGAATCTTCTCATCCCCCCACACCTCTGGCCTATACCCCAGTTCTTGTATTCGTAAATAAATAAATCTTTTAAAATAAACAAATAAATAACCAGGAACTATATTCTAGCCCAACTGACACTTATGACTAATCATCATAACTTGTAAGAAATTCTTTATATATTCTGAGCATTAGACCCTTATTAGTTACATGATTTGAAAATATGTTCTCCCCTTCCATGGGCTATCTTTCACTTTCCTGATCTCATCTTCTGATGCAACATTATATTTATGAATTCTTAATAGATTAAGTTTTATGGACTTATTTTTTCCTTTTACTTGTGTTTTGGATATTTTATCTAAGGTTTCATGACTAAATATAAGATCATGACATTTACCTTTTGTTTTAAGAACTGCATAGTTCTGGCTCTCAAATTTAGGTTTGCTCCATTTTGAGTTAGTCGTTTTTTTAAAAGATTTTATTTATTCATAAAGAACTGGGGTACAGGCCAGAGGGGCAGGGGCAGTGAGAGGGATTCACCAGAGACAGAGTGGGGAGCAGAACAGGCAAACTGACGAAGTACACTGCTGAGGGGAGCAGCGGGCAAGACAAGAGAGGTCTGCCACGCCATGTGGGTCACTTCCCTGGGCAGGGATCGAAGTTGGCTGCAGCCAGGTTCATAGTGTTACAGTTTAACCTGTTGCACCACCAGAGAGGGCCCTGAGTTAATTCTTGTATATGGTTATACATGTGGATCTTTAGTCTTCCTAGCACCATTTGTTCAAAGTACTCTTACCACATTTGCTGGTCTTGACCCTTTGTTAATATTGAATTATTTGTTGAAAATGGGGGCACAGAAATGAGTGTATTTGGACTCAATCTATTCTACCAGTCCACATGCCTCTTGCTATGCCAGTGATGCATGTTAGATTACTACTGCTTTGTAACAAGCCTGGGAAGGAGGAAGCAATAAGGACTCTATTGGCTCAAGACGATGCGACCTTCCAGAGAAAATGTGTGTCAAATAGTTAACCTCTCCTGATAGAAAACTTTTGCCACTTTCCTCAGTGACATAAAGTTCTGCCTTATAGTCAAGCAAAGTCCTTCTCAACATGGGTCTCCCCAAGCTTGCCTCCTAACCATGGATAGAGGAAATCATTATTGAGAAAATGTGTCCAGCAGAAATCCCCTTTGGTTCTTGATCGTTTTGCCAACGAGTGAACTAGACCTGAGATGTTCAGCTTGTTCAGCTGCGGTACCATCCCGAGTGGCCCAGGCCATGTGCAACTGTGCAGATAGTGGCTGTACTCCCCCGTCACATTGCAGAGGACAGCTTCTGGGTGGCCAGGTCTTCTCCAGGAAGTCGTTCTAGAATGGCTGGAGAGCAGTGTTGTAGGTCACGGTTGATTCTATGAGCATGCCAGTAGAATCTGGCCCAACTCCTGGGAGCTGTAGCCTAGCTTTGATTTTCTTAGCACAACCAGTCTGGGGTTGTTGATCAGGGTTAGCAGCAGAAGCCATCTCGTCCTGGACCTCCTTGAGATGCGGGGACCTAGAATAGAATCAGAGCAGACAGCCTAGGGGCAGGATGCAGCTCTTCCCAGCCCTTCTCAGAAGCTGCAGGAAAAGATGCCCAGGAGGTATGAGGTGTGGAAGGACTGAACCAAGACTCCCGGGAACAGAGCAAGGCAGAAGGACAGTGAATTTGTCCCACAGATCCGAGGCTCCGCAGTGTTGGGCACCACTGCAGACCAGGTCAAATGCCAACATGGCTAAGTAGCAGAAGGTAGAGCAGAGTGATGGGGCTGGGAGAGTGGGGGTATGCAGTATAGAGCCTTGAGTGGACAGGAGTTGGTGTTCAGGGGCCGTGATAGGCAGCAGGGCACATTAAGCAAAACCGAGCCCATCTGGGAGAACACTGGCCTGCAGCCTGAGACAGGTGGGGTCTCAAATAAATGGGGATGAGCAGGAATAAAGCTCATTTCTAGGGACTGTGGAGGAGCTCAGTTGGCAGCACAAGGACATAAGGTCTCAGGGGTTCCACAGCAAGCTGACCGGGTGCTCAGCTTCCAGATCTCCTAATTCACAAGACTCCGGGACATGCGGTGTGGAGGAAGGGAGGCAGGGAGGGTGTCCCTTGGGGTCCTGGTTTCCTGGTGTTCGCCCCACTGGAGGTTCCAGTGGCAGACATACCTGCTGATTGATTTAGGTACCAATATATGATGGCCTGCTGCAGCCTCCTTTCCCTGTGGCCTGTGATCAGGATGTGACAGAAGCTGACCAGCACCGGGTTGGTATGGTAATGATCCACGTAGAGCATGCCGATCCACGCTTTGAACCCTACAACCCAGAAGGTGAGTTGGTGTGGGGGGAAGGGAGGGGCATGACCCAGGATGATGTCCGAGTCTGTGTTTTTTATCATACTCTGTAGTGTCAACTTGATCCTAAACTCTGCCCATGTCTTTGCTGAGAATTTAGAAAAAAAGGTACAAAGGGCTAGAAGGATTCTTAGAGACTTCCTTACCTGCCTATTTTGTGAGGAATTTGATCAGCTGATCTGGAGAAGGCATCAGTCATAATAAACGAGTGGGCGAGTGAACAATGGCAGTGAGAAAGCAAAAGGGACTTTTGCTCCACAGCCATAACTTTGGAGTATTGGAGCTGAACAGGCTGTTGTTTTCTTAACTCAGTAAGTTTCCAGGTGACAATTCTAAGATGTGCTCACTCTCACATTCTTCAGAAAATTGCATTCTTCAGTTTAACTCCCAACAGTAGAGCAAGAACCCCTCCCTCACACCACCTCCATTATGCCGCAAAGTCAACCACATGGGCTATTTAAAAGCCTTCAGCTCTGGCCTATACCCCAGTTCTGTATGCATAAACAATTAAAAAAAAAAAAAAGCCTTCAGCTCCCTTCAGACAACTGGACCAGGTGTGCGTTTCCTATTCTACTGTCACCTGCATGGGAAGATCAGCTCTGAGCATAAGTGAAGAGTGTAGACTCTGGCCCTGATAGTTGGTCTCCAGGCAGCTTCTACCAAAGGGGAAGACCCAGATGTGTGGGGCAGGGGCTGCCACTAACCCATGTCTGATCCCTCGTAGCCCTTCTGCAGGATGGTCCTGTCGATGCGAGCGATCAGCCACGAGCCCAGGATGCAGCTGATGAGCAGCCTGGAGAGGCAGGCACCCAGGCCCAGCAGCACGTTGTAGAAGAACAGAAAGTAGTTGAAGTTGTGGAATGCTTTCCTGCACATGGAAATAGGGGCAGCACGCTTTTGGTAGGAGACAGCGGCTCTCCAGAGGCTGCCCACCCCCCACCACCTGTGGTCGCATCCTCCACCGCCCATCTGCAGTGACCTCACGCTGCAAGCCAGAGCTCACTGCTCCTGCCTATCTGAAGTGGCCCAGAACACAGAGGGCGACACACACTGCGGCCTGTGCGGACTAGAGTGCAGGATCCCAGGGTTTTGAGGTTTCCTGTACAGTAAGAACTCCAGTGTGGCTACTGTCGCAGAGGTTGTGGCTGTCCACTGTCAAAATAGTGACCTGTCCCCAGTGGGACTTGCTCCAAGTCCTCCAGATGAAACCTCGCAAGTGGCCACCTGATCACATGCGCCTGTGGGAGAAGGCGGACTCTGAGCTTCTTGCTCTCTGGGAGGGGCCTCTGCAGCCTGCGTCTGTTGCCCTCTCTGCCTTCTCCCCAGCCAGGGCACACTGCACGCCCACCCGAATGGGTGCTCGCTTTTCTCACTATACACCCTGCCTGCTCCTCTCATGGCGCCTTCACCCAGGCAGTGGGGGGTCCCCGCCACGCTCAAACCTCAGCTCTTCTTGGAAGCATCCTGCCATTCTACTGACTTTAGCCAGGAGCCTTTCCTGCCTCTGCCCCACCCCCTGGCCTCTCCTGTTACTCTGCTGCTGTAACCCTTACAGGCCCTCTGCAGTCTAGGGTCCCCAAGGCTGCGTCTGTCAGCTCCCATGGGCCGTGGGCTGCTCCCAGGTGGTCACACTGGCTCTACCTCAGTGCCCCTGCTGTTTCCTCCAAGAGTGAACAGCTTTGGGTGAGTGGATTAAAAAGAGTTACCAGGTGCCTCGCGCCATTCCAGTTTCAGATTTTAATACATTTCAACCTCAGAACGCCTCCTGGAAGTATGCGTAGTCACTTGTAGAATGAGGTTGCTGAGGCTCAGAGGTGACCGGTGAGGTCGCACCACATCACATAGCATGGAGGCGGGGTGCGGCCCCTGGCAGCCTGGAACCAGGGCTCACTCCTGAATCACTGCCCCTCACCCTTCAGAGTGTAGCGTCACCCCAGAGACCTACCTTTGGTAAATGGAAAGGACTGAGAGACTGCCAGAGCCCTATAGGGCCCATTCCCTTCTCCGGCCTCACCTATTGTTGAGAGCCAAGGGCTTCTGCCTGTCAGCTGTTTCCATCTTGGATTGCAGGAAGAACCTGGTGGCCATCCACACCTGCAGGATCATGATACCCAGGACGATGGATATGGTGAGGCTGAAACAAAGGGTGAGACCATCCTGAGGGGCCTTGTTCACTCTTCCCAAATCTCCCAGTGACCGGCGAGGGGGAGGAGCGAGCTGCGGACAGTCTGCGGACGAAGAGCAGGAGCACAAAGCTTTATTGCCTGGAGACCTCACCACATTGACAGAGAGGTCGAAAGGGAGGGGTTTTCCCAAAGCTGCATAGTCAGGTCGTCTGGCTCCAGACCAGAAATGGATGTTTTTTTGGTCTAGGGCTGGCGGCTGAGGCCGGTGCTGTGACAGTGTAGACGCCCAAGACAGCAGTGGGTTTTTTTTTTTTTAAGATTTATTTATTTATTCATATGGAACTGGGTGTGTACAGGCCAGAGATGTGGAGGGTGAGAGGATTCACCAGAGACAGAGAGGGGAGCAGAACAGGCAGATCGATGAAGTACACTGCTGAGGGGAGCAGCGGGCGGGTCAGGAGAGGTCTGCCTCGCCATGTGGTCTCCTCCGGGGCAGGCGGGGATCGAGCTCATGCGGAAGCGGCTTTAGATTCTCAGTGCTGCGCTTTAACCCGCTGCGCCACCAGGGAGGGCCAGCAGTGGGGTTTTTAGAGGCTGTCATGAGGGCCACGAGGGAGGGACAGGGACTTCCCTGGACTCTGCCCCAGACTCACAGGAGACTAGCCAAGTGTGCAAGCAAGGAAGTCAGAGCAGAGAGGTCCCCAGAGAGCGCGACATCCCATCTTTGCCTCCCCTGCAGGCAGTGGGGGGCACTTTGGTTTCAGACTGCCTAGCTTTCACTCCTGCTTCTTCCCCTCCTTGGGCAAGTTGCTTAGCTTCTCTGTGCTTCTGCCAGCTGATCTGAAAAGAAAGGGGCTTAATATAAGCCCCAATTTCAAAGGGGTCTTAAGAGAAAGAACACGGTAAATTCTCAATAATACCAGCATTCACTTGCTCTTCCATGTGAAGAAGCCTCATGAGGCTCACAGAAGTGACTTACCCAAGTCAAACAACTGACTGAAAACCTAAGCTCAGATTCCTTCTTTCCTTCCACTGCCTGCCTTGGTTCTCATATTATCCCCTTAAACCTTAATCTTCCAGCTATACAATGATGCACATGAATTACTTACACACACACAAGGACAGTGAGATCAGAAAACTTGCAAACTTACGGTTCCACCTTGGTGAATTACTCTGATGGCCCAATCACGGATCAGAGCTGAGAGCACAGGTCCAGGGCTTGGCGAGAGTCCAGAAAGAAAGGCTCAGAGCAGCAGTGAGCTCCCACTAACCCCAAGCCCTGGCCAATGACAGGAAGCCCACCAGCACTTACAAGCCAATGCCCAGCTCTCGGAGCATCTCCAGGCCTTGCTCGTGGACGATGGGCAACACCAGGCTGTACATGATCACCATGCCACACAGGCTCTGCATCACGTGGAGGATGAGGTAGCCTGTGGGCCAAGCAGCCAGTGGTCCATCACACCATCCACAATCCTGTCCCCCATGTCCCTCCCTGCAGCCTCCCCTCGAGTCCCTCCACCAAAGACACTGGCACTTTTGCTGTTTCTTTGGCCCCCCTTTTCTTCCTGCTAATTCCCTGCTCACCCTGCTAGGTGCAGTTCAAGTATCAGCTGCATTGGGTGCAGCGGTGCCCTGCCCTGGACGAGCCCCTCTGGGTCATCTCCGCCCTTTACCCGTATGCCGGGTGGGCCCACGCAGAAGGTGATGGTGACCTGGATGAGTGTGTGTTTCTCCTCTTTCTTCTGGATCTACTGGCAGCCGGAGCCAGGGCTGCTTCTGCCTCACCTCTCGCCCCCTCTCCTCAGGTGCAGGGGAAGATGGGGTCACATCATGGCACTTACCCCATAGGATATAAGCTATTTGCCAGCCGGAGTACCTTGCAATAGCCACCTGGAGTTAGAAAGAAGAAGGGATCTCAGAGGAGGTAACCCTTGATGAGCTCAAACATGCTCGAACACGCGTCCATCCACCAGCTTCCTGGGGGGGTCACCCGCACAGGTGACATGGTCATGTCACAGATGAGGAAGCCAGGGGCCCATCGGGGACTGTGACTTTCCCCAGTCAACCAGCAGGAGAACAGGGCTAAGCAGGACACTCCCAACCTGGGGTTCTCCCTGTCCCTCCCAGGCACAGGAGAGCCCATTCAGGCAAGTCGGTTAGTCTCCAGCAGAAGCCTCTCAGACTTACCACACTCTCTGACGAGGAAGGGTTATGGAACTTCAAAGGGAGAAAGTGTCTGTTCCCTGCCCACAACCTTTTCATATGTTTTCTAGAGGAAAAGCACATGAGAAATCAGGACTGGTAACTGCACTCAGAACTCAGTGGATGTAGACAGAGGGGAGGCTGAGGTGTCTGCATGGACCACGGAGAGTTGGAGGGCTCTGGCTGGCCCGGAAATTCTCAAATTTAGGGCCCTCCCTGGTGGCGCAGTGGGTTAGAGCACAGCACTAAGAAGCCAAAGCCACTTCAGCTCAAGTTCAAGCCCCGCCTGCCCTCGAAGTGACCCACATGGCACTTCAGACCTCTCCTGACCCTTCTGCCGCTCCCCTCAGCAGTTACTTTGTCAATCTGCCTGTTCTGCACCCCACTCTGTCTCTGGTGAAGCCTCTCACCACCTCTGCACCTCGGGTCTGTACCCAGTTCTGTATGCATAAATAAATAAATAAATCTTTTTTAAAATTCTCAAATTGAGTACAGTTTGTGAAAATAATGCATATTTTCATAGTCTTACTAGTGACTGAATTTGATGGCTGAACATGTATATGTGTCAATATGGCATATATTGTCTTCATTCTGCTCTTCTTTCAAGGAGTATTTTTACTTACATAATAATATTTTAAACTGGTAACAAGCAGAGTCATTTTTAATGATACTGCTACCTCACAAACATAAAGGGAAGTGAAAAAGCCCTTCATCATCCCACCACCCCAATACATCACTGTGATGTCCCCATGCTTACTCTCTGCCTGGCCCTTTGCATAAAAATCAGATGAAAGGGTCATGTCCACACTCACATCTGCATCCACTTTTCTCCTAACATTCTACCTCCAGCAGAACTGGAGAATGAGATAAATACTCAGTGTGAGATAAAGAGTGTAAATATCTCATGAATAGTGTGTGTATTGTATAACATGATAAAGTGATGACGTTTGGGTCATGATGGGCTAGATAAAATATAGTATTCAATTGTTTTCCCTTTTCTGCTTACTTCTTTAATAGTAGCGACTGGAAAAATTCAAAATCTGCAGCTTTCATTGTATTTCTGTTTGGGGGCCCTGGAGTAGAATGTGCTACCAGGAACACAAGCACGCACACAGATGCATTTGCATGTTACAGAGAAAATTTCTAGAAGGATGCACAACAAGCAAATGGCAATGCTAAACACAGGGTCTGAGTGAAAGGAAGACTACTCTGGACTAAATAATGTTTCTAAAATTAAAAGTGTGAGCATTTTATAACTAAAATCTACATAGAAAATTATTGTGAAGTTGAAGAATATGACTTCTTTTCAGATGGAGTATGTTTAAACAATTAGTCAAGAGAGGTATAAGATAGGACTTTGTCTTATTTTTATGATTAAGAACTTGAGAAAACTGAGTTGAATTATTCATGGAGTAAATAACATTAAGACTAAACCCTAAAGATATCTTTCTTTTGTATAACTACTTTTAAATTCTGTAAGCAAAAAAAGCTGATGTTGAAGAAATTATTTTAAATTATATTCTTTGAATTAAAAAAAAAAAAGTGTGAGTAGGTTGGAATAATTTTAAGAAAAAACTTTAGAAAAAAACACTGCCACATTCTACTGTGGTCCAATTTGTAGTGTTCTTCATGCACTATTTCCTCTGAGTTGTATGTCTTAAGTTGTTTTGCTGAGTCTCAGCTTTCTTAGCTGTAAATATGGAGGTGAAAGTATCCCTCAGTTTGTAGTAAAAATCAAAAGAAGATTCTAATCACAATATCTAGTTTGTAGTATTTCAAGTCAAGAGTTTTGGACCTTTGGGTTTTCTGAGGGGTTTTTTTGGTATTTTTTTTTTTCCTGCCAATAGATGTGGTTGTTCCTAGACTGGGCCTAGAGTCTCACTACTTGGGATTCTTAGGACAATCTTCAGGTTACTTCCTGGCTGAGGGCACACAGGCACTTCCCCTCTTACCTGTAGCAGGCCAAAATGTGGAACAGATAGCTCACACAGGTGAGGGAGGCAGGCAAAATGGTCACCAGCCAGACTCCTGAAATAGGAAAGGTGGTAAGAGAGAACTCAGAAGAAAAACCAGAAACGT